AGTCGAAAAATCCTTAGTCGAGGGCAGCCCTAATGTAAAGTTTAAGATTTTACATGTAAAGATTAAAATAACACTTCATTGTATTCATATTTCATATCTGGTATTTGTCTGTTTTTTATTTTACAGATTTACCCAGATCTACACTGACTGTGACACCAAAGAGTGTGTTCACTGGAGAGACAGTCACTCTGAAGTGTGTGATTGAGTCTCACAGTAACTGGAGATATGAGTGGAATAAAGGCAGAGACAGTGTAATGTTACAGACGTCTGATCGTTACACTGTAAACAGAGACACTCTCACTATCAGAGGAGCGAATGAGTCTGATCAGGATCAGTACTGGTGTAGAGGACAGAGAGATGGAAGACCAAAATCATCACAGGAGAGTAACCGGATACATCTGTCTGTTAATGGTTAGTTAATATTTTGAGAAATACTTGTCTGTTGTTTAAAATGACAATATACTCATAAAACTTGGGGTTCCCCGAGAAACTTTTTGAAAGCCTTCAGGAGATCTGCAGTGATGTTCAATAAGTGCTTGTTTTTTTTTCAGTGTCAGGTTCAGGTCAGATTTCTGTCTTCAGCATCCTCAGTTTTCTTCTGGCAGCTTGTCCGTATCTGCTGGCGACAGTCGTGCTGCTGTTCAAATGCTACAGAGCGAGAGGTACAACTTCTGTCTGATTCGTCTCTCTCCTCTGAGTGTCTTTTCTGTAAACCATTCACATTCACTGACAGACAGGCCTTTACTCTTTCTCTTTTTATATGTTATAAATCAATATTTACAACACATGGTGGTCATTCATAAGCAGTATCTGCAGTGGAAGCAAAACAGAAAGAGTCAAACTGAATTATACAAGTTAATGGTGTGTGTGTGTGTGTGTGTGTGTGTGTGTGTCACAGTTGCATCTACTGAAGACCAAAGCCAGTATGCCGTAACAGAGGAACAAGCTTCAACCTGATTTCATCCATTCTTCAAACTGCATATATAGAGTCACAGGATGCTGGAGCCTCAGGCTGAAGGCTGGGAAACTCGCAAGACTAACAGACACACATTCACACTCTCACACATATGGACAATTTAGTGTTTCTAATTCTCCTGGGGCCTCATGTATAAAGCTTTATATAGATTTCTTCCTAAATGTGTGCATACCCACAAAAGCTAGATTTTGCGTACGTACAAAATTTTTCAGATTTATAAAGCCATGCGTATGCCAGAACCTGTGAAATATTCCCTTTGTAATACCCAGTCAGCGGAAGATTGTGCATACATGAATAAATATCATTATTATCATTAATATCATTATTATAAAAGTATTCTCTCAGAACATGAGTTTTTCTATTTAGAACACAATTAAAGTGGAATTGTCATGTGGCAAGCAATCCTCGCTGTGATTAAAACATTAAATCACATACCACAGGACAATTGTTCGAAAGCAGCACATCCACTGAAAATATTTCTGTGTAAATTCATATAAAAATGTTGCAATTTCTGGATAATAATTTCATGAAATTTCAGTGCTTAACTTCATTATTGAGAGTGTCATATTTAATCTAATTGTGTATGTCAAATGTAAAACCTTTGCTTCATTATTTCGCTCACTCCAGTAAAAGAGTGCGTACGCATGGTCTAGTGTCCGTACAAAACTGTTAAATAAAAATAAATACATTTTACTGCAGTTTATAAGTTCTTATACACGGATTAGAAATGTTCAAACTAATGGCATTTCAGCCCAGAGATGTTTTTATTCAGTTTTAACCTGATTGTCAATAAAAGAGTTGTAGTCATTGTATTGTACTGCATTTCATGTTTTGAAACTAAAGCGCTGTAATATAAACTATTAAATCTCATCATATGAAGACATTGGGAGAGAGTGACAACTGATATGTACATAATTTTATGTAAGTTTCTGTTATAAAGATCTCATTGATTTACATTATACTTCAGAATTTTGTCCATATAAATATCAACACTGCACCAAATTGCATATTTTTGCTCAGTTTAGGCCTTGGAATAAAACTATAATTTCATAATTATAACATTTTCTTTTAGCATTTAACAGAAATACTACTAACAACAGTTATGTGATGTCAAATTACATCTTAACATGTTTTGTTTGTTTATGATACACTTTTTTTTTCTTTTTAGAATAAATGGTTTTGTTTAGACAATAATAATAATAACCTTCTATATGTCTTGTCATCTGATTGATATTATACTTTTTTAACAAATAAAAGGGCTTTATATATTTACTGGACTGAAGAGACTTTACCTGTTTATCCAAACATAATTGTATTATTTTTTTCAGTTCTCAGTAATCATTGTATTGTATTGCATTACATGTTTTGAAACTAAAGAGCTGTAATATAAACTATTAAATCTCATCATATGAAGACATTGGGAGAGAGTGACAACTGATATTTATATAATTTTATGTAAGTTTCTGTTATACTGTTATAAAGATCTCATTGATTTACATTATACATCAGAATTTTGTCCATATAAATATCAGCACTGCACCAAATTGCATATTTTTGCTCAGTTTAGGCCTTAGAATAAAACTATAATTTCATAATTATAACATTTTCTTTTAGCATTTAACAGTTTCTTAATTTTGTATAAATGCTTTCACTTAGTGCAACGAGCATACAACTCTTATTAGACATTACACACATTTTGCACAGAGTATTTGATACAATATGACTGCAAATGTAATAAAGAGAAAATAGAATGCATTACATTGTAAGCACATTATGAATTAAGAGTTTTAGAAATTACACTAGAAATAGTGTCTCTATGAAACAGTAACATCTTGACATTACATTCTCAAAGGCATTTACTTCACAGATCCGTAGTTCACTGAGAAGCTATGCAAACAGCTGTCATTATCGCGAACGATTTCTTTGATTTCAGAATCACGCAATAAAATCCTCTGCAATTTTTTTGCGTAGCTTGTCAGTGAACTACGGCTATGTGTAGTAAATGCTGCTCCATCTGAAAGCACGTGATGATGATTTCCTGCTGATTACAGAACCGGCTTTACTAAGAAAATGCGCATGACAATCACATTCGATTAATCGTGCAGCCCTAATGAAGACTGCAATCAAGGTAAAGAGGATTGCGGTGGCGTACAGGAGTCGTACAGTAAGCACGAGTCCGTTATAATAATGCGTGTAAGAGTGCTCTTGACGCACTGATCGCACAGGCACAGATATTTCCATACATTCACGTTGTTTCCACACACATTCACCATAATGTTGTTATTTGTCATGTTTATGTTGCTGTTTAGTTATACAGGATGGATCCGTGTACTGTTAATACACAGATGATCGATGATTTACTTCTTTTTGGCTGCTTTGGGTTTCGCCGTTTTGGGTTTGGCTGCTTTGGCCTTTTTAGAGCTCTTGGCTGCTTTCTTAGGAGTCGCTGGTTTCTTTGCTTTTTTGGGGTTCTTTGTTGTCGGAGTCGTTCTTCTCCACACCGTAGCCACCGGCAGCGAGCACTTTCTTCAGGGCGGTGAGAGACACTGATATAAAGTTGGTTCGACGTTTGAGGTTTGACATTTGTCAGAGATTCAGCCTCGGAAATCTTCAATAGTTCTTAAACGATTTAGCACAAGGACAAGAAACATAATGTGTTATAATTGTTTTCAAATGTAGAAGAGAACACACAATGTGTTTTATTTGTTTTAATCTGCCTTAAGGTATTGTAACTGATAGACCTTATAATGTAAAAGTGCAGGATAGGGACCGTCTGCAAAGTGCAAAACGAAGAGCAAAAAGCACAATTATTCCATCTA